AGAGAGAGAGAGAGAGAGAGAGAGAGAGAGAGAGAGAGAGAGAGAGAATATGTGTGTGTGTGTAGGTGTTTGGAAATATGTGTGTATAATAGAAAATTTAAAGTATAAAGTCATTAAACTAGTGTCTTCCACATAGCACTATATTATCCATAAATTTTGAATAATTATCTAAAAATATACAACCTTAAAATGAGAAACTTACACCATCACAACTAAAACTAAAGATATACCTAATCACTGATATTCTCCAGGTTAAAAAAAGAAAAAAAAAAGGAATCAGTCTGGCTTAGTTTAGTAATTTGAGCTTGATTCCAGTACTTCAACAGCAATAATATAATGTTACCATAACACCATGTAGCTAGTCACATTACCAAAGGATGACACTTTCAGTAGTTATGGCAACCAGTTATTATGTGAGTGCAAACACTTAGATAAGACATCAATCTTGTAAAAGTCACAGCAAAACTGAACTAGGCACTAAGACTTGCTTTCAAAATATCAAACAGTGCCTTTATCTCACCAAAATATAGAAATGAGGTATGTCTAGAATATATAAACATAACATTTTCAAGTGACTATCTTTATAGTTGGTTATAAACAAAATTACCTTACCTATTGCACTAAGATATAATAAAACATTAAACTACACACATGGAAATCAGTAAACTAAGGACCAAAATGTAAAACTTTTCTGACCTTCCAATATAGAGAGAATATGGCTGGCTGTAGGCCATACTTACCTCAAAACAGAAAAGTAAAAATGTTCCCAATTACCCTAAATTATAAGAAATAAAAACTTTTTTAAGTAATGCTGATCACAGCACGTAAAATGAAAAGGCTGGGTGTGGAGGTGCACGCCTGTAATCCTACCACTTGAAATGTGGCAGCAAGAAGATCCGGAGTTCATGGTCATTTTCAGCTGCATAGCAAACTCAAGGCCAGCCTGGGCTATAAGAAATGCTGCCTAAAAAGACAGTTACATTAAAGGAAGGATGTTCTGTCCCACATCTCCCAGAAAAGGGCAGAAAAGAGAAATACACAAATAAACTGAAATAAAAGTCCTATAAGTAGTGCATCTAAAGAGGCTGGAAGATGACATGATTTGTATTTACTAAGGCACCAGTGGTAGGGACGGGACAAACAAACAGACAGTTCTAAATCTGAAACTAACAGGACTTAAGGCTCCCACCGGATGAATTAGCTAGACAGGGAGCAGTCAACCTAGCAGTGGCTCCAGTCTCTCACACAGGATATACCATCTACACATAGAGCTGTTCATTATGGCCACTTCATCACTAGCACAGAACACCACACATTTCTATCCTGGCATTCCACCTCCAACTCAAGTGCCATTCAAGGGGCTAGAATATGGGAAAAAAAAAAAGAACAATTGCAAACAAAATCAAAATGCCCATTCAAATACTATATGGTTCCTGTATGCTGAGTCTCTCTCTCCTGTGAGTCCTATATTCTAACTTCCTTTGCTTAAATTGGCTTTCTATGTAGCCTTTTAAAACTATTTAATGCAGTGATTCAGAACTAGTCAAAGTACTGAGAATAAATACGATTGAGTGTTCAGCCCTAAATAGGATATCAATATCAATCCCCCATAATCTCCTTCATTCCTCCAACGTGAAGATGGAACAGAAAGAACTGAAGAGTCAGAAGAGGAGCTGTCTTCTGGACATGACATTGCCACTGCCCTCATGAACTCGGGACAACTAAGGCTGCCTGTTCAAGCCCTAGCCCATCAACACTCCAGTATGGAGGAAGGGGAGGGATGCATAATGCACTCTCCCTGGCTGATGAGCTATTGGCAGTTGATGGCTGCTGGAGAAAGGAAAGTGAACTGGGGTGCATATGTGTCAGGTTGACCATGCTCCAGTGGATAGCCCAACGCCATACCACAAGAATGTAAACAGCACTAACTGGACTCAGTGAGCTTTGTTTTGTTGTTGTTTTGAAATACACGTGAAGTAGTAGGGGAAATTATTGGAGGAAGGTAGAGAGGAGAGGGAGAAAAGAGATATCATCAAGACACAAATACATTTATAACATTGATAAAGAATAAACTAATATTTTTAAAACAAAACGGTATTTCTACTAATTGGGGCACATGGAACCTTAATATTAAAAAATGTTAAGACCTTGATTATATTAACTGACTCTCGTGAATGATTACCATAAATCCAATTTAAAACAACAGTGAGAATCTTGTTATAACCCAACCAGACTTTGTATTATAAAGTCAGAGATTAGACCTTGAAACCAGCAAGAATTCATCTGGATAAGCCCAGCGTCAGTCCCATGTGTCTCAGTGATGCCACAGCCTGACTGTCTATCTTCATTTTGATGAAAGGACGGGAAATGGACACACTTCAAGCAGTAGGGACTTTCCACTGCATTTCAAAAGCTTTCTTTCTTTCTTTCTTTTTTTTTTTTAATTTCCTCCCACGGCCTCTTCCTCTAGCAGTCTGACTCATACCACCCTAATAACACAGGTCACACTGTCAGAGACAAGAGTGACAAGGGTGAGTGAGAAGACCAAGTCAATCTGGATCTTAGGAAAACTGGACTAACAACCAGAATAAGAAAATATGCCTTATAAAAATGGCTCCTAGCACCACATAGGGGCACAAGCCTTTAATCACAGCACTTGAGAGAAGCAGGTAGATCTCTGTGAGTTCGAGGGCAGCCTGGTCTACAAAGTGAGGTCTAGAACAGCCAGATCTAAATAGGCTGTGTCTCAGTGAGTGAATGAATGAATGGACAAATGAATAAAAATAGTTCCAGGATACAAATACTTCCAAAGAGATCTAATTTGTGCCTGTCACACTGAACACATAAAACTTCAGAATACTCCCGAGACAGCCATCCTTGCTACTACCAACATTCACGGATTTTTGAATCCCTGAAAGTCAAGCAACAACCAGCTTTACTGGATTTATAAAACACCAAGTTGTGTGTGTGTGTGTGTGGGGGGGGGGGGGCCGCCCCACAAAACACCTCAGAGGATAATCGGCATCCAAATGTATGTTTAAATACAATCTTAAATGCTAAAGACATGTTTATCTTGTCTAATCAGAAAGAGAAATTTTGCTTTTATCCACTTGAAAATACCTTTCTAAATTAAAAATATTGTCCAGATACAAAATTTCACTTCCAAGATGCTGCCAAAGTAAAACCAAGAGTTTTCCTCAGAGAGAAAGCGCTGACACTCTGCACATCACAGGCTTCAGCAATGATGACAGGGCCACTGTTACAAAAGCCCACTCATGCAAGCATTTACCTTTTGAATGAACATCCAAGCAATAAATGTAAAGATGAAAAATTAATAAGCCAATAATTAAAGGAAATAATTGTAAAATAACAATCAGTATGAACTTACCAGTTTAATCGCCACATATTCATTTGTGTATAAATTTTTCCCTTGAAAAAGGAAGAAATATATCAGATTCTGCTAATATTTTTAAATTTAACCTATATAACTTTTACAACCCATACTGTTTAAAATCAAAAAGTATATAAGACATTAAATAAAGCAAAACTCTTTACTTTCAACTCTTACAACAAGAAAATTGCTAAATTTGCTATCAACTCCTTTGCATTTAATGTTTTACTTAGTTAAATTCCAAGTAGAAACCGGTACTAATAAACATGTTATCCAATCATAAGAAAAATATTCTGACTTTGTTATAATACTGCTTGCAACTTAGAAAACAATCAATATTCAAGTAAATAGTGAATACATTTGAAGCCAGAACACAAAACTCCTCAACCATCCATTTCCTTTTAAACGATTATAGAATATTGTCTTATAAGGCCACATATGTAATCTTATATATATCAGATATATAAAAACTCTGAACTATGTTTAAAATATAATTAAATAAGAAAACTAATCAAGTTGGGCAGTGGTGGTGCACACCTTTAATATGGGAGGCAGAGCCAGGTGGATCTCTGCTTTTGAGGCCAGCCTAGTCTACAGAGCTACTTCCAGAACTATTTAAAGTTAAATATAGGAAATGAAACAAACAAACAAAAATACTCATCATCTCAATATATAGAGACCTTTCTGGGGATAAGAAAACATGAATAGAAGGTTACATACATATTTGGTTACATGAACTACTTTAAACTTCAAAATACTGAAAATTATGTTAAATATAAAGCCACATAAATGACAAATCAGAACACAAGTTATCATCGCTAACATGAAAAGAATTTAAATAACTTAATTATCTTTGTGTTGGCCTTCAGCCAAGAAAATTCCAACAGTCAGAATCTGCAGCCCCAGGAGAATACTATGGAGAATAAGGGCTGATAAGGGTAGAAGGACAATCTGAAATATAAATTAGTGTGTATCTTTATAAATACATCAAAAAGAATGAAATTAAAAATAGTACATATTGTTTCTTAATTTCCAGTATTTTTTAATTAGCAAAAAATCACTATTGTACTCAAAATAGAATGACTATTTGTTTTTAAAATGAGAAAGTGGTTCAGTTACAAAGACTACTACTAAAAACAAAACAGGCAGTTTATCAATTTTCATGCATGGTATTTTCCTGCACAGTACCCTTTAACCTTTTATACAGCTCCTAACTTCAACCTCAGATGCAATGCCATCTCTATGGCGCAGAATACTCATATAAATATTCTAAATATTGCCCTTATTGCATAAAAGTGTGTCCAAGTGGGAATCATCTTTATTAATGCTGAGTACCATAGGTCTCATGAAGTCGGTATATTTGAAAGATTTAACACAACAGAAATACTGAGTGTTACAAATCAAGTTCTATTCTGAAACTCATTAAACAAATGTTCATAGTTGTCAAGTTTTAGAGAATATTTTGTATTTTTAAGCAATTGGTTTAGCATTTAGAAATGTTTTCATGCACATTTTTAAAGTCATCATATATGAGACTGTAGGTGTCTTCCAGGAAACCTATGTGAAGAGTGTTATTAACAATGAGGAACCTGACTTTAAGGGTCTGGTATCTAATTCACAATTGAGTTTAAAGATGGAAAAATAAATATATTTCCTCAAAGTATTATAATCTCTTCACAAATATCTTTATATAATTTTTATTCTGAACTATGTGCAGGAAAAATTCAAAAGACAAGTAGCTAAATACAGATCCCACAGAACCAAAGTATACCAACATTTTTACTGACTTTCATATAGTCTAATCATTTATGTCACAGCAAAAAAAGAAAAGAAACAAACAAAAAGAAGTTGAATCCTAAAAAGCCATCATCTTTATTAATATTAAATATAAGGCTAAACTGTGGGGATTGCAGTAATAAACATTAGCAAAGAATCAGTAATATACAGTCTTGTCCCTGAGTAACACCACAAGTGAATAGTTTACAATGTGTGTGTGTGTGTGTGTGTGTGTGTGTGTGTGTGTGTGTGTGTGTG